GAAGCTTTTTATGGTGTTTGACTCAACATCAGTCTCGTAAAGTAACAATGGACTTGTTTCAAAACCAGCAATATTTGATTTCCTGGTGTCATCATGTTAAGTGAACAGTTAAAACAGTCTGTTTTGACAATTCTGTTAAAGTCTTTTCTAGTCCTACACAGGTTGGACAGAGATCCTAAATTAAATATGATATTGTGCTGGTTTTGCATACCTTAGTAGGGTTTATACATTGAATAACTGTTAGCACACCAATTCTTTTTTTTTTCTTTGATGACTTTTATACTCAAGTCTTTATTTACCAGATTTTCCTCTCCATAAATATCAAGAGGAAATGTGTATGCTTTTAAAAAGGTACTCATGCTGGAGACCAGCAAACCCATGACTGTTTTCAAGCTTTTCACATCTTTCAAGAACATCTGAAACTCACATTAAAAGTTATTGTAGGTTTGTGTCAATCACAATTCACAACTCACAGTAAAGATTTATGTGGAACAAAATTCTTCATGATCTTCAGCAAAGGAGTCCAAATTAATTTTTATTTTTAACAGGAAGGTTGAGTACACCTAGAAAGACTGTAAACAGTTTAAAAAACCCTCTTCATCCTTGTTTTAATTGCAATACAGGAGACATTTAATTAAAAAATAATCCATCTCAACATTTACAGCATCATTTCAAATACCAGGTTTATCACTCTAAAAATCACAAAGCACTAGTGCAAGTTGACTCATACAGAAAATAATTTAATCATCTTCAGGAATGTATTTTCTCTACATACTTTTAAGAAACAATTGCATGTACATTTATCAATGTGTAATTCACCTAGGAATTCAAATGAGTACAGTACGGAAATGTAGGTGAGGGTTGATAATCACATCTTCACCTATAAGATCTCGCTATTGTTCAGCAACAATCTATTCTGTTACTTTTACTTTTAAAGCAAATTCCCCATTTTCCAGGAACCAGAAGGCAGAATTTCCCTGTGCTCTTTACCGTCCCCACTGTGCAGCAGTGATCAGATCACAGATTGTCCAACACCATTCTCAAATTCATGAGGGAGCCAGCTGGCTTTATAACCCAGCAAACTGTTTTTTTTTTTTCTCTTCTAGGCCAAATGATCACTTAAGAAAGTTTTCCTTTACACAAAAAGAAGAAACAAAATGCTACAACTATAAAAAAGACAATTAAGTTACTAACAGGCAGATCTGAAATGCTTTTTTTAATATAAATGTGCAGAGGCAAGGGAGAACAGGCAACATTGTCATTCTTGCACAGGATAACCCATATTATACGATCAGAAATATTGACTTTCAGCTGAAATTCTCCTTTCAGTGAAACTGGTAGGAGACGGGACATTCAGGTGTATTAGGTTGACTGGAAGGGAAGGCAAACTGTGCAAAAGGCTATACTAATTAAATCTTGGCTTTACTCCCATGTCTGCAAGCCTACTCATTTCTTCTTACTTGGCATGAACTACAAGGTGCTAATCTAGCTTACAAAGAGAAAAAAAAAGTGCATTTTCCATAACAAAGTTATATGAACCAACAGTTTGCAGTATATTGCAAGGCACAGGAGCGTCACTTTTGTGTAATTATAGGTAATTTCTTTGCATGATCAACTGAAAATCTGCTCCAGCAAGAAAAGGCAAAATTTAGTTTATCTAACAATCCTTTGTGAGGAAAAAAAAGTACCAGAATCATAGAGAAGAAAGCACTGAAGAAATATCAGGTGAAATGTAATCACTTATGTGGGTGAGAATACTTGATCAATAAACATTTAGGAATATTGAAACTGCTGCCACATAATAGTAGGGACTTTTAGTAAATTTACCAAACATGAGCTCCTCTAGTAAAAACACATAGTAGTGAACAACTTACCTGTCCTTAAGAAACAGGAAAAAAAGGTTTTCATTATCAGCAAGACTTTAGAACATATTTTTGATTAAAGACTAACTGCTGATATGGAGATAAAATGAGACCTAAGGCAAAAGCAGCTTACCAAAAATTGGTTGTATCAGAGTAACCTGGTAACTGATCTTTTGCACTAAACAAGCGATGCATGTTTAACCAACCTAGACTTCAACTAGACATTTTACAAAAAGCCAGTTATAGTTAAAGCACTTCCATGTGAGCCTGGAGAAGGCAGTGCTTAGCACAGAACGTAAAAAGGAATGGCTAGAAAGCAGATAAACTCTTCTACTAAGAGAACAGCTTCTGGACTGAAAGGGCAATAGTGGGGAGCCTTGCAATAAGTCTTCTGTGTCATTTTCATTAATGACCTAAGCACAAAAACTAAGGGTGGAAATCGGGTCCACATTCAGACACGAAACTTCAGTCATCCCTGGTGTAGTTGCCTGCAGACCGATGGAGAGCTGGTCAGTGCAGCCAACGGAGTCGTATCGTACCAAGCGTGAAAGCTGAAACAACCAGCAACGGCAGCGGAGGAAACCACTAGTACTCGTGTATTAGTCACTGGAGATAGTATGATATTACTGTGAAAAAATAAGTAAAATCGTGGGCTGCAATCCATCAGTGAAAATTCTAATTGAGGCACGTGACCTAGCAACAAAGGCCACAAACAAGCTCAGGTACCGCTGTCGTCTTTGCCTCTCTCTTTAGCGGTAAGGTCTGTGTGCTGTTTGCTGGCAGAGGCTTGCAATAGATGACCCAGGGATTCTTTCTAGTTCCATGTTTTGTTTGCTTGGTGGGACAGAAAAGAACATTATTTTTTAAAACCATTTCTCAGCGACCTGGTAAGACTTGACAGAGAATGGGCTGCGTAACCCTCCAGCTCTTTGGGGTGGAAGGCTCTTCTGAGCAAGTGTGACGACATAGTCAGTTTGTCCAAACGCCTGCAGACTGTGTTACAGCTCACAGAAAAGTATGCCCATATACAGTATTTTTAGCCTAAACCTTTTCATGGTCAACTGGGCTTACTTACTCCATTCTAAATGGGTAGAAAAACAGCCACTTTTAAAAAAAATAGTGGTGCCAACATTAGTTTAGATCAGCTTTGTCAGTGTACCTGTTTGAGGGAAGTTTCCATCTCAGCGTGACAGAGTATGTATTCTTCACATCCCGATATTCTTATACTTTCTTACTGTGTTCCCAACTGTGCGCATTCATTCATGTATGTGCAGATAAAGGGAGTGCTTGGTTAGTGACGGACTGCTGGGAACGGTGCCTTTGAGTGTTAGACCTGGGCTATAAATAGTGACCCCACTGTGTCCATCTGCAAAGCCCTCTCCCCAGTGCTGAGCCCCATCCTTGTTACACTTAGGCACAGCAAATCAGGTAAAGATAGTGTCGCTTTCATCTTAAAATTCCTTTGCCTCTCACAACTTTGAAACAACCTTTGTATTAAGTTAACATCCTGTACATGCACAAAGTTAATTTGCTCTTTTATTCACTGCTGAGACACTTATCAGATTGAAAAAAGTCAGTACAATAAGCTGTTAGAACCTGTTGGGTTTGTCTTCTAAATATATGAGAAACAAGTTGTTAGGGAAAGGTAATACTTTTCTTTTTCCAACTGAAATATTTGTGATTTAGTCTCACTCATACCAATACACATTGCTGAAACAACGTACTTTCTAGTCCCAGAGAAGGGGGGGGACCCCAACAAGCATTAAAGCACAAGAGCATCACTGTGCTGCTGTCTAGACAGGATTTTTATTGCACAGTCATAGTATAGAGCCACTGCATGTAGCTCTGTGTCCGTCTTTGCAAGGTCTGACTAAAACTGAATCAGCTTTAATCCCAGACTAAAGGTGCGATCTGCCCAACTCCGCAGTTTGTGAGTTGTCCACTGATGGCTCTGGGGGGTACCTGTAAATCAGAGTCACTGAAACACTGTGTTTCAGCCATCTGTAGCCCCTTCCCTCCTGAGGAAAGAAGGCAAAACTGGAGACATTATGAACAGCTTGCTGAAATAAACCTTTTTGTCTTTGGGGTTGGCAACAAGCTGACATTGGCCAAAAGTTGTCACCGTTTATAGGCCAGAGTGCAATCTGTGCAGAAGACCCTTCTTGTTAATCATTGTCCTGCTTTGAGTGATGAGCCTAAAGCATTTCTGAACATCAGACAAAGCGATAGTCAAAACAGACAGTTACTTAGTCCTCTAACTTTTTACTGTTTCACTTCATACAATTTGAAATTTCATTCAAAATTTCTCTTTTGTATTTTGAGAGCATCAAGACCCAAAACAATGGTCTCTTTCGAATGAGGCTAAAGACACTTCTATAAGAAACTGACTTTTAAAAACACCACATTGCTGAACTGAGATATTCCAGGGCAGAATATATGTTTACAGGCAAGTTATGCAGGTGTATGGAAGCACAATTTTAATGATTCATAAAGCTATTGAGACTTTAATTGAGTAGCATTAAAGAGTTCAATTTAATGATGTTAACTTTCAATTTAAACCCTAAGAATTGGAGGCTTATAATGATAGCTTTCATCAAAACTCTTTATTGAGGGTATTACCTGCAAGTGGAGTACTTAAAAGCAACATTATGTAAAAAGACATATTGGTTTATATGTGTATGCGGAGCTAAAATGTCCTGTAATGATTACTCATCTTTTCTAAGTTGGATTGATAATTTTGTACCTTTATCTCCCATTTCAGTTTATTCTCTTTAGGTTTTAATGAACTGCAAGGAAAACACAAATGCCAGAGGCGGATGAACAGCCGTATATTATGCAGTCAGTTGTAGGAAGAAGGCACCTTTATATTTAGAACAGTCTTTTCCAGTAGGATTCTCCTGTGAACGTGTTCTAGCTTGGTTTAGTGTATTCTACTGAACATAATCATTCTCCAAGATACCTACATTTTCAAGTCTCCTCCTTGTCTGTGTACAATACATTGTGTCCCATTTGTTTCCACCAGCTCTAACCAGGATGCCATTAGTCATGTGCAATGAACACGAGGTGGGAGGGAAGATGGTGCAAATTCTCAAGATAAAGCCAAAATTCTTTGCTCAGTGGGATTTCCCTTTAAACCAGGTCCCGATTACAAGGAACTGGATGTTCACCTTCGGAGAATGGAGTCTGGGTTTGGCTTCAGAATCCTGGGAGGAGATGAACCTGGACAGCCTGTGAGTTATTTCTTTCTGACTTTCTTTTTTGTAACTCTAAAATATGTGTAAAGATCAGAAAAATATTACTACATAGCTGAACCCAAAATGAACACCATGTTAAGGCTGTAGGTAAAGTGGCTTTTTTTATTCATCCATAGAAAAAGACAGGACTCTCAGGCTGTCCACATCTGAAAGATGTCACAGTAAATTAAGTTAGAATCAGAAGAAATTAAGTTAGAAACAGTGCATCACTCAGCCCTTTACTGCAGAGTGTGACCTGACATCTTTTAATCCTGACTTTCCAAAAACAAGTTTAAGCAGAAGATTTTAAAAATCAGATTATGTAAGACTATACAAAAATACGTTCAATATAGGCAGACTATGTATATATGCCTAAGGTTAAAAGATACAGTTGACAATTCAGTTTATTTCCAGAAACACAGAAGGCCCCACCAGGGAAAGGTAGTCCACGTTCCAGGTTAGATGACAGCATTATGTGATGCATCAGGCATAAAAATGGTAGTTTTATACTGTTGGGAGGGAGGCATCCCTGTAACCAAATAACAGGTAACAAAGCCAACATAGGTTCATTGCAGGTGAAATAAAATATAAAATAAAATACATACACAATTTTTAAAATAAATGTGTACATATTTTGGTAAATTAGTGAGAGAGAGATATATAAGTACTACAATTTTGAGAGAGCAGGCAGAATTAGTACTCCTTCAGAATAACTTTGATGATGTAACTATGGTTTGTCAATGAGGACTAACCCAAGTCGGTAATGATAACACTTTATTATCACAACCTTACACATACTCTGAGTCCTGTGCAACCACATTTCTGAGATAATGTAAAACTAGTTGATAGATTTACATATTCCATATTCAAGTTCATACAGAATAATATATTTGTCATTCAAGCATTAACATTAAACAACACCTGGCTCTGAGAAATGAAAGAAGCTCCCTTATTTTAAAATTGTCAACATCTGTCTAAGTACTGATAAATATTAATAGTTTACTGATGCCTCCTTAAAAAGAAACAAATGCACTGTATTCTAAAAAAGGTACTTCAAGTGCTGATTGAAATGCAGAGACCCGGTTTTAGAATAAGTGTTTTGGAAAAGATTTTCAACACTAAATAAGCTGTAGCTGTACAGATGAACTTCAAAACAACACTGTTTCTTCATCTATACTTGCAGTGTGGCTGAAGCCCCTCTGGCATCTAACTTTCTCCCACGTCCCATGTCCCAGCACACATAAAATGAGGCCACCAAGCCACCATCTTCATGTTCTCCACCTAAGCATTTTTCCTGTCTTTTCTGGATGGCCCAGCCAGTATGGGTTCTCAAAGCTTGCCTACTGGGTGAAAGCAAAAAGGAAATCTGTTAGGAGCTAGAGGAAATGTCCCATTTTATCATTTTCTCCTGCAAAGAATTGTCCCTAATGGAAGATTTGGAAATCTCCCTCTACCTCCTTCGGTCTGGAGTATCTTGTAGCATTTCCCACCTCCCAAGAAAGTGTCCTTGGCTACAAGGCTGCTCAGTATTCTGGGGAAGTCTCTCTTGGTCTCCTCTTTAGTGGTTTTTTCATTACAAATGGATAATCAGGTAGTCACAGACTGAATGTCTGACTGGCTCTGCAGTTTGGAGGTTTATGACATTCTCATGGGGAGAAGTGCAGCTCAAACGCCTCATGTAAAATGTTATTATTTATATAAAATTGAATTATTTCAACCTAAAAGACTGCGAGAAAACTGGTTTAGAATATCTAATATTCTGATGGTTAAGAATACATGCCAGAGTTGTGGGAGATCTGAATTTACGTCCCTGCTCCGCAATCCAGTAGAGTGGGAATTTGGAAACGAGTCCTTTGCCCCCGAGCTATGTGCATTATGCACTGAACTGTTACAGAGGAGGCAGTTCTTTCTAGTTTCTTTTTAGCAAAGGGCTCACCTGGCTTACTGTCCAAAGTCAAAGAGTCATAGCTGGATACCAAGTGCGGAGATAAGCACCTTGCTATTATTGGAGAGCAGGACCAAAAATGTTGCCTTCTGTGAACCATCTTCTAAGGCGCTTCACTGTCCCGCTGAACAATTTCTCTCAGCCTGCACTTAACCTCAGAGTTGCTATCTCTATTTCAGGGTTTGCAAATAAAAAAGCATTTTTCCCCCAAACTTATCAGTCTAATAGGGTTTATGTCTCTGCACAAACCATGTCTCAAAGTCCTCAGGAATGAATAAGATCATTCAGCTTGAGGCTGAGGATCCTACAAGGCAAACAGGCACCTCCCTAGAGCTAGGTGCTGCAGTGCTGAGCTTCTCAGTTCTCACTCCCTCTTTGTTGTCCACCTACTGTTTTTCACTGCTCAAATTCATCACTAATAAAGACCAATGTACTCCACTTTTTTTTTAGTTCCCATCTATTTTATATTCAAAATACAAGACTTCTTAACCCTGTTTTCTCTCCTCCACTGCTTCCCCGCTCCCCCATGGGCAGCCCACCCGCAGCCTCCCATTCCTTTCACCTCCGGAAAAGGGGAGGCAGCTTCTGCCTCTCCTGCAAACCCCTGCATTCCCTATGAATCAAGAACCGAGACGCTTTGAAATGTTTGTTTCAGCTCTCCTGCTGTGCAGTCAGGTAACACAGAACAAAAGGAAGCTTTCATTGCCTTTTGTCTTTGTGGTTTCATTTCTAAAAAGGAATATGGATTCTTCAGCATGAGGCAACACGTTTTTTGAAGAAGCAGAATTCACATAAAGTTTTTTTAGAAGGATAATACTGACACGATAGAGGGACTATAGCTTAGTTTCCTTCTAGTTACAGCAGCTACGCCAGCACCTTAGAAGGAGAAAGTCCTGATGGACTTGTAAGTATAAAGATGCTTTCCAAAGGAAAGACTTAAATTTATTAAGAAATTTCAAACATCAAGACTGTGGGTTATGCCAGGTCCAATCACCTGTCAGTTCTCATGAGATCATACCACCACAGGTATTCATCACATCTCCCAGTAACTTGAGGAGTTAGAGATAATCTATTATAGTGAATTATATCACTGAAAGTTTGCAAATATACATAAATTAGAACTTTACTGAAGTTGCAAATTGCTGTCCGAAAGCAGAGAAGTATTTTGGATAAATTTGTGAGCTCAAACCCAAATTTGGCGGAACATATACATACTTACACTAAGAGTTTCACCTTTTCAATACAGATTGACTAGGATTCTTCTCAAAAATGCCTGCAAGATGTATGTCTATATTCTTTTTATAATCAGAGCCAAGAAACAGACATTTCTAAGACATAACAGATGTCCATAGAGCAAAGCGTCAGGATAATGCAAACCATGCCTTAGGAGTTCCTATCTTTAGCAGTGATTAGACAGTGTTCAGATGATTAGTTTGGATTTAGACATCACAGACACTTAAAATTAGGTGAGATGAATCACAGCATTTATGTGTATTACTTAAATTTTATTATGTGCCCATGAATCTACTGTGTTATATTCAGAGAAACTGCAACACAAAGTCACGTAATTACCAAGAATCACAAAGTTACTCAGTATAAAAACAGACTTAACGTGTGAGTTAATAGACCCAGGCTTCAATTTCAGATTATGCTGTGTCACAACCTTCCTAATCCCAGTACTTCTCATGTTTAACCTCAAGCGATAGGTAAAACTTTCCCTTTCCTCTACAACACACCCTTTAATTGCCTATGTCATCATCGCTTTCCTCACACTTTCAAAGCAATCTCATGCTGTATATAATGCAGTATGAAACTGCATTACAGAGGTAATATAATATTGATAAATATTTTTCCAATTTGTGTTTTGCTTGTAGAGTTTATGACTATTAGGGAAACTACTTAGCCATGAAATGAGAGCAGATACTGGATAAGAGATAAGTTCAGACACAGAAAATTAAAAAGAAGGAAAATTAACCTATTCTTGCTGTTAAATATACCAAATAACAGATATGGTGGCCATCATCTTGATAAATGCTCCTACCTGAAGTGTTTAAAGTAGGACTCTCCTGCATATGTTAGGAGTTAGTTGCACCACTGAGATGAGTAACATAATCACATTCCACTGTGGACATCGGAAATATCAGAAATAATTGTTTAATTAGTCAAAACTAGAAGGCGTTTTTACACTTTGCAGTAGATACTGATGACCTACAATGCTGTGAGCTGCATTTTGTTTCTCCAAAGGTTAAAGATGCACAAATTGTTCAATACTTTGGTGGCCAATTATAAAGAAACGGCAAATGCTCAATAAAACAAAAGGAGGAAGACAGCCCCTACAGTCTTCCAAGCTGCAAAGGGTTACCACCCGTCTCTTCCCAAAATAACTAGGAAAAAATTCTTACTTATATGAGATGCCCAAATGTAAAGGTTTTGAGGATACTTTGTGGAGATCTGGCTAAATGTAGCTTTGGATCTCTTTTTTCCTGTTCAGTAAAGGAACATAAATACATATTTCATAGTTGGATTTTGCACAAAGTATTGTCCAAAGCTTTGAGGTATATTCTTTCACTATTTGAAGAACAGAATGAAGAACCTGAAAGAGTGTCTCAGGCAACTCAGTCTGGCACTGCTTAACAGGTTTCCAGGAACACCAGGAAGCAGGAAAACGCCACATCGTGTTCTCTCTTTGCTAATTTTTGAAAGCAAAAGTGATCCAAAGGGAGGCTAGAAACTGGGGAAAAATTCTCCAAGCTCCACATGGGGTTTCATTTAAACACACTGCGGGGATACTTGCAACTCTGCAGCTAAGACCGTGAAAAACCACAAGATCACCTGTGTGACTACCACATTTATCCTTTGCAGTTCATCATGAAATGCAATACTTGATAGTTTTTATCTTTTATTATTTAAAGCGGATTGTCACACGGCATGTCATATCCATCATTATGTACTCACTCTCACACTGAACAAGAGAAAGGAAAATTTGGAACATGCTCTGTGAATGCTTTAATATTCTTTCAAAGAAAGCAGGTTTTGTTTGAATCACTCTCAACTGTTCTACCAGTTATTCCACAGGGAGAATATATATGTCTTCTTCTAATAAATTATGTGAAATTATGTGCATAGAAAGTGGAGAAAGTCATTTAAAGGTTTTGAACAGATTTTTTACTAGTTTATATGTCCCATACAAATTACATTTAAATGTCGATTTGGGAAAACAACATCTGCCCAGAGTAAGCTGACATTTTTCTTCTTTTTCCATTTTGCTAATCAACCACTACCTGAGCAATTATTCACTATGGGTAACCACATTTGATACAGCGCTTCTTTTTCCTTGGAGAGTCCCAAAGCAAATTCCGTGTAGTGAGGTCACTTCCACTACTGACCTCAAGTGTATTACTCCAGTTGCTGATGTCACACACCAGTAAGGAATCTTAAATAAGAAATGTGCAGACTAGCTAATTTTAAGTCAAAAGGACCCTTATACGGAGATAATCTTTTTAGATCTTCTGCATAATGTACTCTCTATAAACTCAATGCTCCTTATAGACAAATTGTCTTGATTTGAAGATACCAGGTAGATCATACTTAGATCAAGATTCTCAGGTGTATCACGCCTACACAAGTAGGAAACATCTTACCTTCTTACCAAAGACAAGGAAGCATCTTCACTCACACACACAGAGGAGGAGCACAGCTTTCAGACATACACACGTCTCTTCACCTGCACTGAATCACTAACTTAATTTCAACAGTAAGGGAAAGTCAATGCATTATATGGGAGGCTGCACCTGTGTGTGCACTTAAAGTATACATGACGGGATTTTGTTTCTTTGCTGCCTAGATTCTCATCGGAGCAGTAATTGCAATGGGTGTTCAGCAGACCGAGATGGTCGCCTCCATCCTGGTGATGAGCTGGTGTATGTAGATGGGATTCCAGTGGCCGGCAAAACCCACCGATATGTGATTGATCTGATGCATAACGCTGCCCGAAACGGGCAAGTGAATCTTACTGTGAGGAGAAAGGTCCTGCCCACCGGTGAGTGAAGGCTGGGAAAGGTGAAAGGAAAAAGAGCTCTCAATGCTGGCAGCACAAACACTGCCGTTCTAAAAAAATAGAGAAAATTAAAATCAAAGTGAATGTTTGTATCATTTAAAGAAAGAGTAATTGTGAATATGTGTCCCTCATTTCTGTGACAAAAACGCTACAGCTGAGTGTTGTTTCCTTCAAAAGTGGAAACAATATTGGCAACCCCAGTGTGGTGATCATGAGTGCTCTGGATTTGTTCCATGCTGTCTTGGTCTGTGCTGTCTCCTCCCGTCCCCTTTTGGGACAAACATTCACCTAAGTCAAAGCTGTTAAAGCTGACCATGTCAATACCTGATCAGAGAAAGGCTCGAAGACTGTTAACTGTTTAGGGCAGGAACTCATTTCACTCTTGTTTGTCTTAAAAGCCCATTTCTGGTCTCACTGCTGTCACTTGGAGTTTTGCCCCCCGACGGCAACACAAGCTGGCTGAAAACCTCCTGCATGGCACAAGCGATGTGCCACGGAACACATGGAACATCCGTCCCCAGGAGCAGGGCCGGATCCTCCCTTCAAACAGAAACTTTCAGAAAATAAACCTAAAACAATATGAAGAATCTGGAGTAAATCAAACCTTTAGACTAGCTCGGTCTCAACTATTAAAAAACACCGGAACCTGGAAAAATGTGTGGCAGCACCTATTAAAGCTTTAATGGGAGAATTTGCTGCCGTTCCATTGCCACCTTTGCTTACTGAGGAAAGAAGTTTATTTAAGAACTTTTAAAACACTCGTGGTGAGTACACCACGCTGAGGCACCAGAAATGAGCAAAACCACATTCCCAGCCTGTCCTGTCTTCCGCCTCGCCGTGCCCCAGATCCGCTGTCGCTGCCTGCGCCGTTCCCCTTCGCTCCCCTGCCAAAAAGCCGCCCTCCCACTCACCTTCGTCTCCACAGTCCCCCTCCCACTGCGGCACCGCAGCTGCCTGCCTGCCGCGCTCCTGTGGGACTGACTTTCTTCTGTTACCGACTCCAGAGTCCTCCGGCCAGAAAGGGCCCCCTCCGCCCGGCGCGACACCCCCTCGCAGCTCCCCCGGCGCTCGGAAAATGGCCGATAACCAAGGTAACCCGCCCAGCGCTTGCGATTAGCACCTTTCCCGGGTCAGCCGGCTGTACAGACTGCAGGCAAAATTAGCAAGAGGGTTAGCACAGAGAGGATGCCAGCCTTCGCTGCTGCTTGTTAAATATTAAATAAAAGGGCCTATTAGACGCTCTGGTCTCCTGGCACAGAAAATGAAGCAAGCTGGTAAAACACCTGGAGTTATTCTTGGGCCTTGCGAGTGCCGCACCGGGGAGTATAATGTGTAACTCATTAATGTTTAAGCGTTTCTGGAGCTGAACGGGATTTTAATTTGGTGTGTTACAACACAAGCTTTGTGGAAAAAATTTAAAATGACTGATGTTGGGCATGACTGAGAAATGCAATACTAACGCGTCAGGCCCACTGATTTTATGTGAATGTCTCGCTGGCGTGAATGTATACAACTGAGGCATCTGGGGCTTTTCTTACCCGCCTGATAGCTGATGTAGTATCTTAGCCCTCACCCGGAATCGCCATTTTGTACAGATGCTTACCCCGATCTGGAACAGAAAATCACCATTCACAAGCTCTGGAAAACTATTTGACTAGGAAAATGTGGTATTTGGAACAACACGGATTAAAACGCCATCTTTTTCACAGACAGAAACAAAATGCAATTTTTCTGATTAATGTCTATGGTACAACTGGCAATCGAATAGCTGTTTGAACTTTTCCTCCTTTATCTTTCTTTTCCTATACTTAATGGCATTCAGTTGCATTCATTTATGGTCAAGCCAGCTCTTGGTCATTCTGCAGGGTGAGATAATTCCCTTTCTGTTGCAGCCATTCTGACATAAACGGTATTCAGTTTTCTGAAACATGACAGCCAGAAAATGAGATCTCTCTTGTCACTGACTATGGCATTTAGTTCCAGATTTGGTTCAATAACTCCTGAAGACTTTCAATTCTAATGCAGGAGTGTAATAATTGTTTGTTTTTCTTCCTCTTTATTCTCTCTAATCACTTTATTTCATAGTTGCAGAAGGACTGCTAAAGGACACACCTGACTGAGAAAACAACAGCTTGTCTTGGATGATGTTTATTTTATTAATATGTATACACTGAAGGTCTAATTTGCAGGATGTATGTGTGCATGCGTAAACTCTTCACATGTTCAGTAGAACGACTGCCACTCTCGTCGCCCCAAACAGAAAACATATTACCTATATTCACCTGAAAGTTTTGTATTAAAACTGTCAATAAATACTGAGTTGTGTAAACAACTTAGATCTGCGAGGCATATAAATCTTTTTTTCCCATCTGGATGTGTAACTGCACTGTTTTCAATTGCCAAAATGCTTGTATTAAAAAAGTGTGTAATCCCACAAGATTTAACTTGTTCCCTGTTCTTGTTACTATAAAGCAATACTGAAGTGTGGATGGACTCCATTTTCACTTCTGCCCTTTCCAACTCGCCATACCTGAGCATTTTCAAAGCCTTTAAATGAGCACTGCTTCTGTCATGACACCCACAGAAAAACTGTTTGTGATTATTTTTCATTGTATAACTGCTCTGTTCCATGAACGTCTTTTAAGCACGCTAATCAACTTGTAAGAAGAACATTATGCAGTTAATCCTAATTACTCTATGTTAGCCGCCTGCTTAAATTCTTTTAATCCAAACACAAATAATTTTATATTGGATTAGACTGTCACATTTTCCTCTTAATGACAGATCAACCAGCAGACAAGGCAATTGTGCTTGCTAACACTTTTGCAATCCAGATAGCCACTGTTTCCTACTTTCCTTTCCTCTCTTTTAGATAGCTAAGCAGCGAGTGTTCATGCTTGCTTCATCTGATTGCCCTTGAATGTTTTGCATAATTGTGTAGATTCCTGTCTCTCTGCATCTATTACAGCTCCTAGTTTAATACTTGCTGTAGTCTGGGCTGTAGGCAGCCAACTGTATTCATGTTGCATTAGCAAATGTAGTGTAAGTCACAAAGCCACTGAGCAAGTCAGACTGTAATACTGGTGTGAATTGCGTTGTAGGAGAACCGTGCCCAGAGAATGGCAGAAGCCCAGGCTCGGTGTCTACGCACCACAGTTCTCCAAGAAGTGACTACACCACTTACGCTAACAGTAATCACGCTGTCTCTAGTAGCAATGCTACACCCCCCGAGGGCTTCACTTCTCACAGCCTGCAAACCAGTGACGTCGTGATCCACCGCAAGGAGAATGAAGGCTTTGGCTTTGTTATCATCAGTTCCCTGAACAGGCCTGAATCTGGGTCCACAATAAGTAAGTAAATCACGTTTTTCAGCTTATATTTTTCCAAGTTCAATTCTAATTAAAAAAATAAATTAATTAAAACCTGACACCTGCTAATTAGTCACTGCACAGATGAAAGCTGAAGAGACTCTCAAGATTGCTTCCAAGGGCATCATTGGCCAGTTGTGTCTTGGACAAAACCAAAGGTTATTCTGGCCTCTGAGGTTCTGTGCTTAAGACACTCATTTGGCTCTCAGAGTACAACAGGATTCACCCACAAAGTAGATTTTCTCTGTTCTTATATCCCAAAGAGATATCCTGCAAGCAACCACCAGTTATATGAATAAATTATTCCTCCACAAGCAATTGAATTTTTTTTTTTTTAAATCAAGATGAAGTTCAGGAACTTGAAATAAAAGCGGAGATCACAGCAAACCGTATGACAGCAGCTGTCCAGTTAGGGCACTGCAGAAGCAACTGGAAAATGGGAAAATGGGTTAGACAGATGTCCGGGGAGGTTGATTTTTTAATTAGCTAGACTATACATAGTATAAAAGTTATGACATAGTATAGGGAGATGGTGAATATAGTGTCAGGATCTGCCTTTAATGATTACAGTTCGCTTTCTGTCCAGGAAACTAATGTTTGCTGGGGCTCAACTTTACTGCACCTAGTGGCATTTGAGATGTCCTAGGTACCTCTAGGGAGAAGTTGGGCAGATTGTGACCTAGGACCAACAGAAGACTCAGAGCCCTTGGAAGGGGCAGCTTCTGGCACAGGGGTGCCCTTGGATGTTTCAAATGGCATTTAACTAACTCTGAGCTGAGCCCCTTGGAAGGAGGAAGCATAAAAAGCTTTATGTAGGGAGACGTCCGCACCTCCCACCAAATCCATCTGAAATTGTGAATGCTGACCACTCCTGAAAAACCGAGGCATGTGAGAGCATTTGTTGTTTTGCAAGTTGCAGCGTAACGCAGTTTGTTCTCTGCATCCAAAATATGTTTTGAAGGAAATGTTCTTTTGCCCAAAACTGCTTCCTGAGGAAATAAAATAACAATTTCAACTTTTTCACTCTTCTAAATTCAAAACAGAAAAGCAACTAAGAGAGTATAGAAAAAGCCATATTTCACAGTAGCAAATGATCTCAGCGAACTTCTTTGCAGTATTTCATGACCATGCAGTTATTGAGAATTGCTCTTCATGTTACCTTAGCTGAACTTTAAAATTCCATAATTGCCAGAATTAATATTGTAACAAAACCATGGATAATTAGCCTCTTGGGACTCTGAGTTTTCACTTTGTTGAATATAACAGCCAATTGAAAGTATTTTGCAGAAGATCAGACAGGAAAAACAATAATCCATAGAGGACATTGGGGTACATACATATTAATCAGTTAAGTCAGTCATGAATTTTTCAAGAAAATTATTTCACAGATAGGGTTGGTGGCTGGGGTAGATGAAGAGGTAAAGAGGAGAGGAGGTGAAAGAGAAAATGCCCAAGCAACAAAAAGTTCTGTGGCTGGAGTATTCTGTAAGGACAACAGACCCAGGTTCAAGATCTTGTTTTGCCTCCTACCCACCAACATGTTCCTGAGGTACTTTTCTTTCTCCCCAAGCAACTACATAGGTAGCCACTGTTGAATCTCAGTTGGACACCTCCAATAGTAAATGAAAATGACAGTCTGCTGTGTAAGTGACAAGCAAATTTATTCAAATAATAACTGCATTGAATTTCAGTGATCCCAAAGGGCACCCAAATCCTAAGTTTAGAAGAACAGCAATGAACTAAAAAATGACATTTGCTGTAGACAGCAACAGAACAGAGAAGAAATAACCCTTTCTATGTGAATTCTGAAGAAAAAATAAACTGAAAACTACATACTCTGTCATTAGTAATAAAAACAGGCTAAAAATCATTGGTTATTTGTAGTTTAAGGGAGGTTGATTTTCTTTACTTATTATTTATTTAGGCAAAGTAACTTGGGCTATATTAACAAGAGCATAGCCAGTAGCCTGAGGGGAAATTATTATCGCCTTTTACTCAGCATTCATTAGGACCCATCTAGAATACAGCATCCAAGTTTTGGACCCTTTGGTAGAAGACAGAACAGAACTTCATCAGCAGTCACTGAGACCTCCTGAGGTCCATTCCAGCTTGAAATAACCTGAAATTCTTTGATTAAAATGCACAATCAGGGCTATAAAACATATTAACAGTACAAAAGTATCAACTGGACGTAGGCGGTGTAAATGTCCAAAATACAACTTACATCAGTATCAAAATATGGATCTGCATGGCGTCATGTCAAGCACCTTGGTAGTCACTCACTTCTCATAGCAGTAGTATGTTAATTCGGTGAAATGTTGTACTACATTTCCAGTGTTTCTGGTTTCAGAGCCAGTGCACTTGTTGCCAGCTCATGCATCCCCACGTGGCATAGAATGACGCTGTGCAGACATATCCTAAACACAGTTAAATGTTAATATTGTAATTGCAAGGCAACTCTGAAAGAATCAAAATGGGCAAAATAGGTCAGAAAAGGGACTATCTTGTGGTGCCAGAACATACTAGGAATAGCATAGCTTAAGAAGTTGTCTCACTGGGAGCATCCTCAGGGCAAAGTGAAAAAGAGTTCCTTTGATTTAAGAATGTTTATTTTGATAACTCTATTCCCCTCTCTACTTTCTTGTAAAAGCAAAAGACTTGAGGACTTGGAAGTGTAAGTATCATCTTCGCTTTTACTCAAGAAGACAACTAATCGTGCACTGAAATAATTTTCCTTATTCTTGAAATCACACTTATAAACTATGTTTTACAATCCAACAAGTTACAACAGCTCTTGCTCAGTGCAGGAGCGTGAACCTTGGGTCACTAGGCGCTTGTGCTTCAGGCACTGTTAAAATTGAGGTAGTCATTCAAACAGAGGTGCTACTGGTCTCAGAGCTGCAGGTTCATGGGTTTGCTGCTTTGCAGTTGACCCAAAGCTCAAGGGGTTACGCAAAAGCTCACCCTCTGGGTGTTTGCCAGGGGAGTTAAAACCAGCTCTGGGTGTGAAGCTGTAGGACCACCCCATGAAGCCAGAGGAGTAGTGCTCCAGCTGAGTCTCAGATGCCTTTCCCAACCTCCCTGATGGGGTGTGCGCTGCGCTGCTCTCAACATAGACTATTAGGAGTCCTTCATGCTCGCCCTGACCTGGAAAAGAGCTGCGAAAGGCTCGGGAGCTCCCAGAATTGAGGATGACATTCATGCTCCAAGGCTTAAGGTCTTGGTCAATTTTTCTCTCGACATGCTTTGCAAGGGGGTCATCATCACTGTTGATTTACAGACCTGTCTTTGTCTTGCAGAAATTTTCAAAACACTAAGAGCAGGGTTTTTCTTACCCTTGGTACAGGCACAGAGTGAGGGCAGACTACAACCATAGTTAGGGAATAGACTATTTTTTCACATTTTGTGATAGGCAGCACTGTTGCAACTGTCATTTAAATAAATTACTATTAAGTAGTTAGAAGCCAGCCTTTAAATCTGGATGTAATTTTGACTTGCTGGTACTTGCTTAAACATCCAATTCTTGTGGCACATTTCTTTTCCTGTGTTCTACAATGGTAGAAATTTTTTCTCCCCTGGTCAATGCATTGCTTGGGATGTTCTCTAATCCAGCCCAGGGATTATCTTGCACTAGACTACAGTTCTGATGTGGGACAGATCAAGAGTGGAAAACAAGTGACAAGGATTGAATAAAGAGATTTCAAAGGTTAAAGCAGGGTCATAGACAGGTCAGCCATGCTTCAAAATTATATCTGTAGAAGAAGATAAAGTGTATAAATAAATAAATATGTTTGAGTGGTACATCCAGGAGCAAGTCATTCTGGCTAGCGCAGAACCCAGAGGATGTTAGAGTGCTAAGAGATTAAAAAAAGAAAATTCACCTGGCCAGGCTCCTGACCTGTTCCTAATGCAAGGATCAACTTCCACTGCCCCTAAAACATATCATCATGCTCTTCCCCAGACCCCATCCCAAAATTAAAGGGTGCTTTCGTCTCATCCTTTCTCCAGACAGGCCACCTAAGTTTGACCTTACTCTGTGCTTTTGTTATGCAAGCTACACATAGGTTATCAAAATCGTGTCATCTCCAGTGGTATTTCTTTAAGGGACTCAGTGTCACATTCCCAGCTGAATGCTTGGAAGCTACAAACTCTAGTGTTTCTGGACTGCTTTGACCTTGTGGCTCTGTGGAGACTCTCAGGCAACTGCCTTTGCCCCCCAAATTACCAACACCTTTTAGATGCCTTGGTTCAGTGACAGAGTTAAGCAGCTAAACTGAGCAAACTGCAGCTTGTTTCTGAAGCCCTCTCCTGAGTAATATCTTCATGCTTCCCTGAGAAAAATCCTTGCAGCGTGTGTGGTTCGGCAAGGAAGGGCTCCTCCTGGGGCTGTCCCCTCCAAGTCCCCAGCATCCTGCGGCAACACGTGTGGCTATGGAGATGGAGCTGTGCCCGGGGTGGCATTGCCTCACACAAGAGTACTAAGTGTCACATTACAGCTAAAATACTGAAACTGAGTTAATTTATCTACTCATTGCATGAAGTTTAGGATAACACTCAATAGCGTGTGTCCTCTGCAGTAAAACTCCATTCTTCTGCAGCTTTTTAGGGTATCAAGATAAGTTCACTACCTGCATCCCATGGGAAAACACTTGCAACCAACTGGAAATGGCCAAAAGGAGATTTCTGGATTAATTTGTCCCAGAACTTTATGGAGTACTCTTGTCCCTGACTACTTCATATCTTCCTGCTGCTTTTACTTCGTGTGTTTGGGATGCAGCTTCCTCTAGGAGAATAACTTATGCTTGCTTGTAAATCTCTTATCACTCTAATTTCTGTAGAAAGAAACCATGTGTTGTAAACAGATCATCTTAACTGGTAACTTCCAGTCAAATTGGAAAACTGGTGATATTTCCATGAATTTTACTGTAGCAGATACTGTCAATTAGCACAGTTATATAGTGTAAACAAACTGAAAACACAGG